ATGTTAACAATAAATGACAGGAAAGCATTATTTTCTCCTTCCTCCCTTGGTACTCATATGATTTTTATGGCATTTAGCCATAATATAAATATGCGAGTTAATGATAAATACTATCAATATCTCCAATTTTCCCTTCACCAAATACTGTTCAAATATTATAATGAATTCAATGAATAATCTGGGAACAAATTTGCATTTCAATAAAAATCTCATTTTAAGAAGCTAATTTATGAATTCATTGTAGGTGTGACTTACATATTAGAGTGTGGTTAAAGTTTGTCTTCCTTTCAGAACTCACGTAGACAATCCTTTGGGCATTTCAGCAGATGATTATCTGTAATATCTGGTTAGAGCTGAGCAGATGCTGCCTCAGGGGCTATTGTCGAGCTGGTGTTTCTCAGGCGTCAGACATTCTTGGGTCACCGAGGTGAGAAGGGAGTGGACACTCCGCTGAGTTTCCCTTCCACTCTGTGTCTCAGTGCCACGCAAGTACAGCATGCCAGTGTCCCGGGTCCAGTCTGCTGACGTTCAGTGAGCCCACGGGAGAGGTCTGCTCGGGAAAGGATGTAATTCTGACTGTGTAGGGCAGAGTTCCATCTGCCAGGTGTTCTGGAACAGGTTGTTCCAAACTCTGTGGGGCAAAACAGTCACTTGATAAGACACCCCCAAAGATTCTGATCTGTGCGACATTTGGGGACCCCTGAGGATGTGTCATTTGTAGGCCATTGGGGACCCCTGAGGATGTGGCAGATGTGGTCACATTCTTAGCATCTGATGGGAGGGGGTGCATCATGGGGGGCCTTTTCACACAGCTGCCTCAAGGGCCCTGGACTGCGCTCACGCCCCATCCCTCTGCCGGCCGCCTTCTGGTGAGGACTCAAAAGGGGTGGCATGTGTGGCTCAGGAATGCTGAATGTAGGAGGCAGGGGTGCTGGTGACCCTAGTAAATTCCAAGTCCCCTTCTCTGCCAAAAAATGATTCTGACTCTGGAGTGGAGACTGTGTCTTTCTTACTTGCTTCCATCTCCTAGAGCTACTCATTGGGGTCCCCAGACCAGCCGGGGAGATTGTCCAAAATGCAGGATCTCCGGCCCCACCTCAGTCCCAATGAATGAGAGTCTGCATGGGAGAGCCTGTGACTTTCTGGCACTCTGCACGCTTCCAGACCGTCAGGTGTGAACAGACTCTTCCCTCCGTAATTGCTTAATTATTATCCCTGTCAGGAAAGAGCCTTTGCAGCCATCAAGTGCCACACATAAAGACACCCTTTCATCTTAGCATTTGAAAAACTGTTCCTGTGATTTCAGCAAAAACGGAAGGCCCGTGGTGCCTCACCATCCTCGGATCTCTGAGGATACACGAGGTGGGCAGCAAGGATGCTTAGCTTAGGGCAATGGTCGGCAAACTCATTAGCCGACAGAGCCAAATACCAACAGGACGGTTGAAATTTCTTTTGAGAGCCAAATTTTTTAAACTTAAACTGCTTCTAATGCCACTTCTTCAAAATAGACTCGCCCAGGCCATGGTATTTTGTGGAAGAGCCACACTCAAGGGGCCAAAACTGTGGCTCCAGAGCCGCATGTGGCTCTGGAGCCACAGTTTGCGGACCACGGACTTAGTGAAAGTGAGGGACAGAATTAGATTCACCTGGATGAGTCTAACTCACTTATAGGATCTCAACACAATTTTTAAATCCTTGCAAAATGAAAGCAGAGAAGTAAGATGGCCTGAATGACACCAGATCAGCAAAGCAAAGAAATGAGGTTTGGGAATCAGAAGGGCGAGGGCTCTCACCCAGCTCGAGTGCACCTTCTGAAGGTTAGTAAGAGCCGCATGCGTTGTGTGATTTCTCCCTGGAAATGTCGGCATCTCCATGGAGCGGCTGGGAGGGTTCACCAGATCAGTGGACTCTCGGCGCCTGGCCCAGAGCTGACCACACGGAGCGGTTTCAGAATTCCACAGTCGATGCCGTCATTCATGGGCTCCTTAGTTCGCTCATCTCCCACTTGCTAAACTGTATTTGTCACCTCAAAGTCAGTCCTCACAGGCGCCTTCACGGTCATTGGGAGATGTGTGCAAAGTGGGGGACGCTTGAGTGCCCCGATGCAGGCATGGCAGCTGAGGTCCCACACCGTGACTGACCCCCGCCTCCTTGTGGCAGCTCCTGTGCTGTGAACTAGTGTCTGTTCACATCCTGGGCAGGGCCACACCTTTCACAGGTGGGTGTTATTGCCGGCAGTTGCCCTGTTTTAATGGCCCTCCAAGGGTAACGTCCAGGTTCCGCCCAGGGTTCTTTGCGTGGAGGGAGGCTGAGGTGTGCCTGATGGAGACAGTGTGTGTATGAGATCAGCTTCCTTCCATCACGAGGGACCATGCTGTTGGCATGAATGTTCACGTAACAACAGCGTACGCCTTTCTATAAGGTGTCTTGAAACAGGAACACATGTGGGACAAGATTACATATTAATGCGGTGGCAAAAATCTTATAACCTGTTGTCCACAGGGAACCTAGCCCTGTGTACCTCCTAGGAGCAGTGGTTCGGGGTTTGTTTACTCGGAGATCCTGACAACTTGATAAAACATACCTACCGCAAATATTGAGAATTCGCTGTCATCTATTTAGTTCCTGTGTTAGGCAGGTGAAAAATGAGTGGCTATAACAAATTAACTTCAAACTGCAGCTTAACACAGAAGTTTATTTTTTTAGGTATGTAACGTCTAATCGAGTGTTAAAAGGTGAGTCGGGAACCCAGACTCTGACATCTTTTGGACAGGGAAAGAGAGAGTTGTAGGTAGGTCTTTATGGACCAGCCTACAGGTGGAGCACATCATTTCTGCCTTCTTTCTATTGGCCAGAGGCCAGTCACATGGTCACAATGAACCGCAAAGGAGGCTGGGAAACGGTACCTAGCTGGGTGCTCCGGGGTTCTGTGAATAGCCCAGCCACAGCCTTCCCTAAGGTGACTGCCTATGGCCGTTTCCCCTTAGATTAATGGCGAAACGCTTAGGTAAGAAACAGTTATCTTTTCCAAGTTCCTCTTTTCATCTCTTTCCAGTTCATCACCAGGGGAAGCAGGTCTTTGTCCTCTCATCTGTCTCGGATAGAAGGCGGAATCCTGATATAATGAGACCTCTCTGCATATTTTCTCTTGTTCTATTCGGCCAGCCTTTCAATACCTTCTATCACTGTTGGCTACAGTTATTTTTGCCTCGGAATGAAGAGTCACATAAAGAATGCGTGCAGTGCCTTCTATGAAAGAAAGGGTTAAGATACAAATAACGGATCATTTATTTTTGTTCCAACTAAATTGTGGATTCAACGTCCAACGTGCTTCAGTGTTCAGCCAGTAAAATGCCGGCTTGGTCTGGCCCTATGTTAATGAACGTGTCAGGTGGTGAACTAAAGAGTCACTGACGCCACCAGGAAGAAGTCCCTGCTACCCTCTGGGATCTCTGCCCAGGTTCACGGTCGTCTTATGTTGTGGACTCTGATGAGTATTGTTTCTCCAGGCTTTCTGTCCTGATGTTACTGTCCCGGGAAGAGGCAGGGGCACAGTAATTTTCCAGCTTTAGGAATTCTAGGAGGGGAGGGGATACCTCCTATGAAAATTTTGGCTCCCATAATGATCAGTTCATGCACATCTTTGAAACTCTTATGAAACTATCATGGGCTTTTTCCACAAAGGAAAGGTGAACGTTCACATACATTTTTTAAATTTTGTACAATGTTAGGGGAGGCTTACCCCTGCTGAAAACAAGGTGGTTCTGACCTTAGAATACTATCATGGGAATGCATGTGACCAGCCTGTCACATAGCAGCCAGACAGAACTAACTGTGTTACGTAAGCAAAACAGTAGACCCTGCTAAGAATGAGGTACCGTGTTACATAACTGCTCTTTGCTGCTGGGAGATAAAAATATTAGCCCGGAATAATACGAGTTTCGAAGCTGAGGAAGCAGGCACAGGTCTGGTTCTGACCTTCCAGTGACTAACGAGACGAAAACAAAACAAACAGAAACACACACCACAAAACACAAATTTACCCCTGTGCAGGTCTGATGTTTATTTCTGTTTCTGCTTTAATTGTGTTTAGAGTCTCACATAGGTCTTCCTCCTTCCTGTAAACTGTGGGACTTGCCTTTATTGTGGCTTTTAAGCCTTTGCAATGTGCCTTGATATGGAGTCTAGGGCACACACATACACACACACACACACACACACACACACTGTGCACATACACACACGCACATACACACATGCACACACATTTATAGGAGCCCAGGTATCCTACAATATGAACTGTTTGAAACATAACTGTGTTTGCAGAACGGCAGCAGGAAGCCCTCAGTGTAGTAAACCAGATATGACGCTTTTGCAGAGAAGGGTCGTGCCCCCATCCAGACGATTGTATGGAAGCCACAGGGGGACAGCGATACAGGAAGAGCTGCGGGGAGAGGCAGGAGCAGGAGAGTGACGGATGCCCTTTAGGGCCCTGCTCTGGGCTGGCACCATGAGGAACGTGGAGCCCGCGACCTGCAGAAAAGGTTACACTATTTCCGTGTGCTCTGCTCAGGGAGCGGGGAACATGTACGGAATAATTTTTTAAATGCGTCAGAAATGATAAAAGTGTAATGCGAAGGAGGTAGAAGTCAGTTATTTGGAAAGATCATGGAATGAGGGGTTGCTATTTATATGTTCTATTAATTTTGATACAGAAATAGCTGCATTTTATCGGTTCCGTCGCCCAGTTCTCTCCAGAATCCGCTGCTCTTTCAGTCTCCAGCACTTGGCACAATGCCTGCCTCACAATAGACAGTATTTATTGAGAGGAAGAGAGACAGGAAGGAAGGAAGAGCCCATTATATCCGTATGTCTGCGTGACATGAATTACCTGTGCATGAATAAAGACATTCACACTTAACACTCTTTTCTCTCCTTTTCAGAGCAGAAACCATTCTCTTGGGACCGTTCACAGGCAAGAGACACCAACGCCGTGACATATGCCAGTGCCACCGCCACCTCCACCTCCTCCTCCTCCTCTGCCTCCACCTCCCCCGCCTCTGGGAGCGCCTCCCCCTCCCCCGCCATCAGCACCCCCGGTAAGGCCTGTTTTTCTGTCTCACTGACCGTCCAGCATTAGCTGCTCTGAGCACATTTGAGCAGGAGGTTTTGCATGTTCTCGGAACCAGCCACCACTTAGCTCCCCTGTGACAGGTGGCATCTCAGGTGGCTGGTCTGATTCCCAAGGAGGCTGGGCAGGTCTTTCTCTGCCTAGTCCTTGGCCACACACACCTCAGTGTCATCTGTCTACAGACCTCTGGGTAATTTCTCTTCTGATTCCTGCTGCTCCATGCCGGCTTCCTGATCTCCCTAATCGGTTCTTCCCTCTCACTGGGAAGCTCGGAAGTGGGCAGCCAGTGGGGCGGTTCCCGTGTGTCATTCGATGGTGACCACCATGGCTTGGCCTTTGGTTGCCTGGTGCTGGGCCCACGTCAGAGAACTGTCCTACAAAACGCCACAACGAAATAGAAATCTCTAAAGGAAATGTCCCTGTCCACACCAGGCCACGTCACCTGTGTGGCCGGATGCTCTCTCTCGGTTTAATAGTTTGGTCTGGGCGGAGGGTAGGAGAGGCACGGAGAGGGTGGTGGTTTAGAGAACAGGAATTCTCAACGTCGGCACCACTGGCATGTGGGGCCAGATCCTTTTTGTTGTGGAGGGTTCTTCTGTGCCCAGTAGGATGTTTGGCCCCAGACGGCTCCTGTTCTCAGTGGAAGGTGGAAGATACCACCTGCGTGCCATGGCGATGTGGCACGCAGAGGCAGGGCTGGTTGGGATGCTCTGAGCCAAGTCAGCCGAGCCGGGAATTGAGCCTCACCGGCCATCCTCCCCCGCTCTGCATTCTGCTCCCCAGGTGTGGGTGACATGACCTCAGGTGTGTGGATGACGTGACTTTGGGGAGTGTTGGTTATGAGGTCCCCAATGCATGGCCACAGGCCACCGTGAGAGCACCAGTATGCCTGGGACGTCACCCCCTGCGATGTTACCTTTGCACAACAACCGTGTCTGAACTCCCAGGGACCTAGCCCTGCTTGAAACGTGGCCTTGCCTGGAAATCAGTGGGAAGAAATCACATAGATGAGTTACATAGGAAAGCTCTCTGGCCAGTACATACAAAGTGTAGGGGTAAGTTGGAAGTTCCACTGATGAACTTGGCCCCACAAGGGATAAAGGAGAGGGACAGTTTATAAGTAAAGGAAACATACATGAAACTGTCACAGGTCTTGCACAAACTGGCTAGCACCAAGAAATGCAACTGATAATCACTTCAGATACCACAATGCACCCATAAACTTCGCCAGAATGAGTCAACTTGTCATGTTGGGGATTTGAGGGAATAAGCCCTTTTTTAAAGCTTTGCTGGTGACACACCAGTACCTGGAACTCGGTGTTCAGCGGACCTTTCTGGAGTATTCTCTGGCAGAAAACAGTGGTCTTAAACATATCATCCTTTTCCCCTGGAAAACCAAAAGGAATGTATCCAAGGATGTGCACAGCGATGCCATTTATTCTAGTGAAAAATTCGACCTTATGAGCACTATGTGAAATGTGTTAGGTCATGCTGGTAATTAAAAATTGCATTATGCCATAGAGGTAATTAAAAATTATATTTATAACTATGCCCGTTATGGAATGTAGACATGGAATGGTGGTTTAAAAGCACAATGAAATTCTCTACCTATTATATGTAATAGTAGAGATCAGAAGAGAATTTTTAATTCTGATAAAATTTTTAATTTTATTAGGGAATTATTTTTCTTGAAAGACATTTAAGTCCATGGTCCAGTGGAACTTTTCTTTTTATATCACTTACATAAAATCCTTGGTTTCTCCTCTTGGCACACAATGCCTGCAGCGTTTATTGTCTGGCCCTTCGAGGGAAGTATTTGCCAACACCTGGCCTGCAAGACGGCTGGCTTCTCCCAGCCTTCCTGTGCCTCTCTGCGTCCCTTTTCAAGGACTCCCCATTCCCCTCTTGGCAGTAGCCCGCTCCACCCACATGGCCTGGCCCCTGCCTGCATCTCAGACCTCACACTGCACCCTGTCCTCGTGTCTTCTACTCTAAGGCGTGAGCATAGCTGTGCTGTTCACCTGGAAACCCTTTCTGCTCCACTCCGCTCAGCGGTCACTTCCCTGGAGCATCCCTTCCTCACCCCCCCTGGAATGTATAACCTACCTTCACACCCTCCCCACAGCATGGATCAGGGTTTAATTCTGTTTATTGGACTGGAGTCCGAATTTTATGAGTTGTGGTCTTTCGGTTCCTAGCACCTGGCTCACAACAAGCACTCTGCTCATTGACCGAATGAATGAATGAATGAATGAGTGAGTGAATGAATACATGAATGCAAACATCGTGTAAATAGGGCTCAGCAACGGAGCTAACCCTCTTTATAACCAGTGTTCAGCACTGTGAACATCTAAGCTATGGACCAGCATGGCAGATTACTACATACCTGCGGTCTTTGATTCATATATGTAACCTTTGTGTGACATGTCTGATGGTCTGTAATACAAAGCACCCTATCAGCTTCACCTTTGCTCGGGAAGAACCGGGCTTAGGCCGGGGCTAAAAGTTTTTGGTTTCTTCCTTCTACCTCTCCCCTCTCCCTTCCTGCCCCTCCCATCCTAATCTCCACCTCTTCTTTAATGAGTATCTTTTCTTTCCCAAAAATGTGGGCATAATAAACCAGGAGAAGGACCAGTGGAGTCTTCCGGTTTTGAGAGCAGGCTTAATGCCAAACAGTCCTCGCCATCCTGTTCACTGTTGTCCCTGCCCCCTGGCTCCCCTGTCTTTTGAGTTCTACTCCATTTCCCATTCATTTAAAATCCAGGAGCAACATAAAATTGCCTGCCTGGTTCATGGGTCCACTTATAACTATATCATTGTTGTTGCTTTGGTTACAGGATGTAGCCTTTTTAAAAGATCTAAAAAAATGCAAGGGTTTGATTTTGAAATGCAACAGAATTCTACTGACATTTGGTTTCCCGTGTGGACCCCCTGGCAGTGTCCGAGATGAGAGAACAAACGTGGTGACAGCCTGTGATTTGTTTCCTCGTCATGATCACGTAAGATTGCCTCCACATGAGGAAGGAAATATATATAATATATATAATATAATGTGCCTCTGACCAGCTGATAGGTTCTTTGGAGTTGGGTTCCCCATGCAAAGCCTAACAGTAGGGCTGTGAGTTTTTATAGCATTGTTTTTCAATGTTGTTGTTCAAGTTCAACCATCCTAAGGAGGAAATGGTTCTTTATGTAAAAGCAAAGGGCCAGTGTGGTGCAGTGGTTGGAGCCGTGTCCTTTGCACCAAAGCGTCTCAGGTTCTAGTCCCTGTCAAGAGCATGTACCTGTGTTGCAGGTTCAATCCCCAGCCCAGGTCAGAGGGAGTGTGGGAGGCAACCAATCCATGTGTCTCTCTCACATGGATGTTTCTTTCTCTTTTTCTTTCTCTCCTCCTCTGTCTTTCTCAGCCCCCACTCTCCCTCTCTTGCACTGTCTCTAAAAATCAATGGAAAAAATATCCTCTGGCGAGGATGAACAAAAACAGAGGGGAAACTGGCTTGCTAACCATTTATTTGCCATGGGAAGCAAAACTCTCAAGTTAGGAAGACGCCCTGACGTCATACCCAACACTCCCCATGGCGCCATGTGTTTCTGCCTGCCTCTTCCGGGGCGTGAAGTGTAAAAATACGTAAGGGACATGACAGTGAAAGGCATATTGGGGCCCCTCACCATCTGTTCTCCCCTTACTCCTTGCCAGTCTCTGCATCCAGGTGCCCCCGTGAGACGATGTGTCTCCTTGTGGTCTGAGGGCCGCCTGGCGCGTACCCGGGGTCAGGAAGTGCCAGCTGCGGGCACCCTGGGAGGGTTCCCACCACCTCCAGGAGTCAGGAGCTCATGTGCTGTACGAGCTCACAGCTCCGTCTGCAAACAAAAATGCGTAAAATGGAGTGTTATCTGAAATGGCACCAGAGCCTCTTTCTGTTTTGTGTTTGCTGTGGTTAAGAAAAGGCAAAGAAAAAGCTATGTGGAAGGGGGCTCAGCAGAACGGCATATTTCCCTGCGTTCCGCACACGGTAACTTGCATGTGTCCTGGCGCCTTGGGAATAATGAGGCTTAAAAAATCTTAGATGCTGTCACTCAGGTAGGTTCCCCAGCCCTGGTGCTCTGGTTAGTGCCATCAGTAAGGGATCGGGACCATTACCCAGGGTCGCCAGTGGCTGCTGGGACAGGGAGGAGCTTTGTGCATCAGGCCAAGCCGTTGGGCTATAGTGTTACATTTGTTCTCTGCTTAATGGCGTGCAAAACGACACCTTTGTCCTCGAGTCCGTTTGAAAACTTAATTCCCCCACCCCCACCCCCACCCCCGGGTGGCGGGCGGGCACCTGCGAGCAGAGCGGTCGGCCGCCTGGCGAGGAGCCCGGGAGAGGTGCGGCGGGCCCTGCCACTCAGGCGTGCAAAGGGCCGCACGCCCCCGGCCCGGCTGGGTGAGCAGAGCTGCCAGCGCCGGACAAAGGCCTTTACCAGGGTTCCTGGGCTCCTGGGCATCTGAGCCCCTGGAGGTGGCAGGAAGGCGCTGTGCGGTGGGAGGCCATCAGGCCGTACACGGAGACCTCTGTCACCTGCAGCAGGGACTGCTCTCCAAAGCGTTCCCCCACACCGACAGTGCCGGCTCTTGGCCTTGGAAATCTTTAGAATTGAAATGGAATTCCTAGACAGCTGCCCCTGGACATTCCCCTACCCGAGTATCTTTTCGTGCGTGCACTGTTATACCTGGGGGCCGCCTTGGTTTGGAGCAAGGACCTTTGGGACATGTAAACCACTCAGCCCACTGTCCTTTCATACAGACCTGCTCCCACCCCTTTGAATCGAAAAGCCAGGAAGTCAGTGCTTTCCACCCCCACCCTCAGATTTCTTCCCGGGTCCCAGGTCTCCTGCTCAGATTCCTCTTTTCTTTCTGCTTTGTGTTCCCATCATTTCTCCCCATTTGCTTATTGTTGTTTTTTCTCTCCATTCAAAAGGGTGTTTTTT